GGTACAAGCGGAAAGAGGGTGATTCTACGCGAAAAAAGAAGTCTAAAATATAGAATAAAAATGTTTCGTTCGAGGCTTTGTTTTCGAGAAAATCGACTTTGAATTTTCGTTGGGTATGCGTGCACTTTATCGCGTCTCGTTATAACGGATCTCACTGTAGATCGTTGTTTCGATGGAAAAATAAAAAAAAAGATTTTTATTCTATATTTTCGACTTCTTTTTTCGCGTAGAATCACCCCCTTTCCGCCTGTACCACCAGTTACCAACCACCCTGTATATAGTATTAATATGTTTTATGTATAATTAAATAGTACGTTAAAAAATAAAGAATAGTTTTAACGAGTTGTATGCAACGCGCGTGATATATTTACAAAATTTATCTACGTCAAACGTCGAGATACTTTTTACCAGTACGACATTTCAGGAACGAAGTGTCAAATAAGGGGAATTGTCGCTAACATCGGTACACTTTTTAGTGTAATTTTTAACGTCGCGTTTCTTGTAAATTTCAGATGCGAGGGCGTAGATTCATTAGTGGCGTACGTGCATATAGACAGGAAGAAGGAGAAGATAGATTCGTTTTGCAGTGGAAAGGCGGCACGGCCTATCATGAGTAACGGACCACGGCTTTCCTTGGAATTTAACGGCATCACATCATCTCGCCAATCACGAGGTTTCAAAGCTGTGTATTCCTTCATAGAAAGTAAGTAGCACGTTCCTTCTTTCTTCTTGTCAAGTCGTCGCAGACGAAATGACCGAATTCTTGATAAAACTTGTAACTTTGATATCTCCCTTTAAAACAGAATCAACGAAATTATGCTTCCACAGACACGATAAATTTTGCCTAAAGAAGTTTGGCAATTTACATTCTGTCTGTAACAGCCTGAAACTGAGTATGCGCAATTCCGACGATAACCTTGTTGATAAAATAATTCGCATTTTCAATTTATTTCAGACGCGATAGTAATTTGTCCAATGTTATTCAAACTCCTAATAAATAAACGCGTTTTATGTGGAACGTGCGAGTGCATTCTATCGATACGTCATAGGTCACTCATTCGTGTATCGAATTCAGTTTTGAGATAATATTAACGCGAAATCGTGCTTCATAATAACTGTCATTTGTATCCGTTTGATCGAACACGTTCCACAAACAACGATAATATTAAATTTATTGAGAGACGATATACGATGATGTCGGTTACATCACTAGGTCATGAATGAACCTCGTCGATCGTCAGCAGAACGATTAAGGAGCGTTTCATTAGAAAAAGTGCTTGGTGCTTTGACGCGTTTAAATCGACATTTATAAAACGACGAAAGCGGAACAGGACGAAACGTTTCTTCCGTCTATAATACTTGATTTACACGCTGCGACGATTTAATTAAGTCGAAGGGGAAAAGAACCGAGAAAGTGTGTTATTTTCCTCTTTCTGCTTTTCTTAATGATAAATTCTATTACGCAATAAAGATCTTTGCGCGTCGAAAGTTATTACGTACAAATTGTGGAAACGTTAAAGTTCTGGAGTGAGAGTTATCTTTCTTTTTTTTTTTTTTTTTGTCGCGAAAATTACGTGTGAATTTAATCCGCTGAAATACTTTCAACGTTACCGTTGTAGTTTGTCTACGATGAAGCTATCGCTTTAAGTTTTTAAAGAAGAATGTCCAATATCAGGAGAAATAAACCAGAAACGATTTCTCCGTTCATTTTATCCAAACGATTTGAATGTGCAGGGAAAACCATTTTACAGAGGGCTAGGTGAGGATTTATAGTACAACGATACCGAGATATATAACGAAGAAGAAATATTTTTTAATATCTGAACAAAACTCGATCTCTAGGTAACGTACTAGGTATACGCATGTTCAGTTACCATTTAGCGTAAGACTCGAAAAATTTCTAGGATTTTTATTTTACCTTTTCTCCTCGATATCCCTTCTATTATTTATGCTCTCTTTTCCTCCGCGGCTTTTTATACGTTTCATAGATCTCTTCCTTTCTTTCTTTCTTTTTTTTTTTTTGGCTCTCGACTTTTCTCAAGAGGAATAAAGGGAACTTCCCCTTATTTTACTTTTACTCATTTCTGCCAAATTCTTTCCCTGCGTCATTACTCCTTTTCCATCCGCTATTTCTCTTCCTATTTCCACATCGTCCTCCGTTTCTTCATTTTTCTTTTTTTTTTCTTTTCTTCTCTTTTTTTTTCCTCGCCACGCTACATACACATTTCTCCGCTTCCACCTCCCCTTCGCACCGTCGTTTTATCTTTCCCCTCGCTGCCTCTGTGTCGCTGCAACCGCGCTCCCTTCGCTCGTCCCTTTCGCGTCTAGTAAATTCAGATATTGTCAGTACCATAAATCGGTTCGATGTGCTCGGTTAAAGATAGACGATACGCATCATTGAGAATAAGTTATTGGTACGGGACGTGTTCGAGACGTAACGTCGGCGCATGACGTACGGTCTTATACGCGTTCGCGGCGTCTGTGCCACAGCGAGTCCGGTCCTTTCTGCCGCGCGCCTATGTCCCGTCAAAATTTCAATTTCCGTTGAGCATTCTATCGTGATGGCAATGTGTCTCTCCTCGTGCGGCCGTTCATCATCCACAGCCGAGGTTCAGATTGCAGCGTACACGGCTGGAATGCCCGGCCTGCGGAACAAATGGATCGCAAAGTGTGTTTGTCTTTCGCCTGGAGAACAGATTCGCCAGAGGAGAAGCGATACTCGCCTCCGTGATACTCAAAAATTCGTTCTTTCGTCGAACCATCCACTCCGGTGGGCAGAGGCAGTAAGAAGAGAGGGAAAACGATAGGATAGACGATAACACGGTCAGTCGAATTTAAAAGAGGATGCGAAAAATTCGGATGGAATTAAAGTACAAGAGGTTACAAGTTTGCCGCATCGCGAATATTTCTGCCTGGCTGCGGAAGCGTTTTCATACCGAAACTTTCTTCCTGTCTGGGGGAAAGCATTCGAAGATTGCAGTGTTTAGAGTTGCAGACAGCAGATAGGAACAAGTCGAACGGAAATAGGGAAGGGGGAAGGTTGTGGATGTGACCATAAGCATGCGAACATTTGGAAATTATCTCAAATGTTCATACAATACGTCATCGAGCTGTGTTCTTTGTCCGTTATAAACGAAGTTTTCTGTTCTGTGATTTAATTATATTGGTAATTACATGAAATGGACGATAGAGTCTCAACGATTGAAATTGAATTTGTCGAACAATGGAGATTAAAATTGTAGATTTTATAGCTTGGTGTAAATTAAAAGAGATCAAAATTTAGCTTATTGTGTTAGGTTTATTTCAGCTGTACAAGTTTATAGTTCGAAGATATGAATTTTATTTGCGACGGAAATTATAATCGCTCGATCGAATATACGTATTTGCTCGCTGCTGTACTTACAGCTTTAAGAAAGGAACGTTTGGCTTTCGATATACGTGTAATTTACCTTTTATCCTCTCATTTAACAACTCTGATCTAGTCGGATGTTTCACTTGGAGTTTGCTAAAAATTATACGCACGCGCGTCTGTCCGGAAGTTGGAGGGAAATGGTTATACTTTCCCAATCGCTAGCGAATCTGAGAATCGAGCAATTGTAAAACACTTAGTTTTGCCTACCTGGATATTTCAACTTTCTCCATTTTCGGAAGAAACACTTGAAATTGGATAAAAGGGAAGAGTATGCGATATTCGCCACGTAAAGGAGACATAGTAGCCGATAAGTATCGAGGTGCGATTCTTAGAGAAATATTGTCATATTTCAGCCAAACAAGCTTCAGATACGCGTACCACTTTCAGTCGAGAAAAGAAAATACTCTCTATCCGTTATATATACGCGGAGAAATATGAAACTAAACTAGTTTAAACTAAATTACGCTATAAATTATACTCGCAAGAAATATACAAAGTGGTTGGTAACTGGTGGTACAAGCGGAAAGGGGGTGATTCTACGCGAAAAAAGGAGTCGAAAATATAGAATAAAAATTTTTCGTTCGAGGCTTTGTTTTCGAGAAAATCGACTTTGAATTTTCGCTCGGTACGCCTGCATTTTATCGCGTCTCGTTATAACGGATCTCACTGTAAATCGTTGTCTCGATGGAATGACTGGTACTTATCAGAGTGTAAAAGGGTCCTGCAATCTGTTTATCGAACCTCGATTAATCAGTTTCCTCGTTTTGTACAACTTGCAACACGTTTTGAAAATTTTTACCGCTTATCGTTCGATACGATGATATCAGTTATCAGGAAAATTCCGGATCGATCTCTAAATCGCAACATTAGAAATACCACACCATTCAATATCACAGCAGTCAAATCGATTGGTTTTACAATTTTATTTTAAAATTCCTACTGCATGTTTCATTTTTTTCCACGACGATGTAATGACTTTCTCAACGATAACTAAAAGAATAATATAACGAATTGTATTTTGTTCTTTGTGTATTCAAAATCAAAATAATTTTGTATCAAGGCTACTTATGCCAATACCAATCAAAATGGCTGGTACTTGTCAGAGTGTAAAAAGGTCCTGCAATCTGTTTATCGAGCCTCGATTAATCAGTTTCCTCGTTTTGTACAACTTGCAACACGTTTTGAAAATTTTTACCGCGTATCGTTCGATACGATGATATCATCGTTATGATATCATCGATATTATCAGGAAAATTCCGGATCGATCGCTAGATCCCTAGATGCTAACGCTAGAATACCACAGCAGTCAAAGTGACTGGTTCTACAATTTTACAAACGTGTCAATCCTCGCTTAGGGATCATGGTCCCAGATGGATTAATAATACCAAAAATGTGCTACATAACATGGAATTGCTTCTGTAAGAAAGTAATAAATCGACAAATATAAAAGTATTCTATTATTACATATTTTTTAAAGACCAATCATTTCGACTAGTTTCGGTAGAAATAGCTTCGTGTTAACTATCGGTAGTTCTAATGTTAAAATAATATTCATGTTTATACTATCTATATGCCTATTAAAATAACATAAAGTGTTTAAACGAAGAATATTATTATCCATGCATATACAGGGTGCTCTAGGTCTTTTCCACAAAACGAAGCCAGCATACCCACGAGTAAAAGTACGAAATTCAAAGCGAGAACTACAAACGCGATAAGTCACATTTCCCATTATTATCTTCCAATTATTCAAAACTTACTATGATGTACTATGTAAAATGTACTAGTACAAAAATGTATTATGACGTACAGACGAAAACCTTGATGTCTCGTGCCTGATGATTCCTACCCTCTCTACATACGCATATCGGGTGCCTGTTAATTTTAAGAGACAAGTTTGCCATGTTAACACTGACACCACCATCTATCTCTATCGCTCATGTGCGAGCAGCGTATTGTTCGGCAAGTTCCGGCAAGTAGACAGGATTCCTATTATCGCGTAATTGAAACGCGAACAAACGGATTTCGAGCCATTCACAATGGCAGAAAGGAGAATCTGCGGCACCGAAGTTCTTCGTTTGAGCGCAAGTCGTTCCTTTCCGAAACGAGCCCCGCTAACGATAAAAAGTTTCGCTTTAATTGCTATGGTAGGATATCCTTCTGGGAAACTTCAAAGCTGGATATCGTCCACGAAAAGGCCGGACTTGCCGGTTACGCGCTCAGCAACCATTCGTAAACGAATCTTCTGCTATTTCTAAGATACCAGGTGTCTTGCGTTTTAAAATCGAAAG